CTGGTAAATGATGGGCACACAGGTGCGTGCTGTGGCTGGGCACCCTTCCCCTGCTTTGGCTCCCTGGGCACCATCCCAGCCAGGGCTTGTTTCTGCTACCACTCCTGGGTCGTCTCTGCCCTCGAGTTGCAGGGTCCTGCCCTGTGGATTTGTGTCAGTGCTGGGATGACGCATGGGGAGGATGAGCCCAGGTGTGCCAGGGCTGCCCTCAACCCTGACCCCCTCCTCACCCTGTCCCACTGCCCTTGCAGTGATGCTGAGCCTGGCGAGTGAGCTGGCCCCTGAGCACATCACCATCAGCGGTGGAGGCCTCCCTGGCAGGTACCGGGCGCTGCAGCTCCACTTCCACTGGGGCAGCCCAGCTGGGAATGGCTCCGAGCACACCCTCGATGGGCACCAGCTCCCCATGGAGGTAGGTGAGAAAAAGCACCCGTGGTGTTCTCTGCCCAAGTGCTCGAGTCCTTGGTGTGATGGGAAGGTGTGATGCTGGCACGTCTCACGGGGTGACCAGGCTGGGTGACACAGCACCAGTGGGTTTGGCCAATGGTAGGGTACAGACAGCTCTGCTGCTCAGGGCACCTGGGTGCTTAAAAACAGGTGACATGAAACTCAAGATTTTTCTTTACTATGTGGCTGCCAAATTGGTTCATTGGAGGCTCTCAGGGGGTTTGGGTGCTCTGTGCCCTGCTGGGGCTACATGCTGAGTCAGTGGGTGCAAGCAAGAGCCTGCAGGAACGTGCTGTGCCAAGTGCATCACAGCCCTTCTGGGTGAGAGAGGCTTTGAGCCTCTAAAATATTAATTATCTGCCAGAGGAGAGCAGATTTTATGTAATGTGTCTGGTGGGCTCCCCAGGAATGCTGGCCCCCTTTCCCCACCCCTTCAAAGGATGCTGGCTTCATTGGGGTGCTTTGATGCAAGCACCCATGGGACTAGGAAGGCTTTTCTAGAGGGTGGTTGGCTCAGTGTCTGGCCTGGGGAGATCTGTGGGCGAGTGTCCCACTGCTGGGGGGTTGTTTGCACACGCTTGGCCCTCCATTCTTTTCCCAGCTGCACATTGTCCACATGAATGTCAAGTACCGGACGCTGGCAGAGGCCAAGGGACATCCCAATGGGCTGGCTGTCCTCAGCTTCTTCTACCAGGTGGGTCTGTAGGGGCTCATGCTGCCCGTGGGTGGGGACCCCCTGGGAGCAGGTTGGAGTGCAGCTGGGGCAGCATCATACAGCTTCCCCAAGAGAGCAAGAAGGGGCAGGAGAGCTGAGCCAGGACCAGGAGGTTGCTGGAGAACCTCAGTGGTAAAAGGTGCCACAATCCCTCCGCTGGCTTCATGCAGGGGTGTGGGCTGGGAGCTCACCCATTCCCAGGGCTGCTGGTCCGTGCAAGGTGACCCGGCCCTGTCCTGCCCCAGCCACTTGCTCTCCCCCTCTGCAGGTCTCCGAAAGCCCCAACACCAACTACAACACCATCGTGGCAGGGCTGAGGAACATCTCCCAGGCTGGTGAGTCGCCTTCTCACTGGGGCAGGGCAGAAAGGGGAGAGACTCTGCTGTGGGAGGGCAGGGGTGGGTGGGGGGGACCTGCCAGACTGGAAGGGGGTGTCCCTGCTGTCCCCATGTCTCGCCCCACAGGAGAATCCGTGGATTTGGCCTCCACCTTCCGCCTGAGCACCCTGCTGCCGCGTGCCGGCCGGCTCTCCGGGTACTACCGCTACCAGGGCTCCCTCACCACCCCCGACTGCAGCGAGGTTGTCGTCTGGACCATCTTCGAGGAGCCAGTGGAGATCAGCCAGGAACAGGTACCAGTGTGCCCAAAGGGCTGGGTCCCCCTGCTGGCCCCTCTCGCCCTTCCTGACCCCTAAGCAAGAGCACAAGGAAAGTCATCTCTATAATAATGCTCCCGGCAACCTGGCAATTAATTAATTTTATGAGGGTTAAGTAACGGAGTCATAACTACCTGCCAGAGGGGAAAAATCCTGTTCACAGCCATCTCCTGCCCAGCCCTAGTATTCAGAAAGCAAAACAGGAGAGAATGCATTGGAGCCCAGAAGAGGCTCCAAGGAGGTGGGTGTGTGGGTGGATGGATGGAGTTCTCCTCTGCTGCCCAAGCATCTTAGTAGACGTTTCCTTGCGGGTGTCATGGGCCAACTGCTCTTTAAGTGCTCAGCACAAGCAGTGAAACATGATCTTAAAATCTCAAGAGCTGGTCCTTGCAAGGCCCTGGCCCCTCTGTGTGCCCTCTGGCTCTGGTTTCAGGAGGGTGGTGAGGGGTGGTGGGAGCACACCCGCTGGCATGGGGACATGCCATGGGTCTGCTGCTGCCAGCTGTGGGGCAGCACAAAAAGGGGTCATGAGCGGGGAAGGGGCTCAGGGCACGCTGTGGAGCTGTTGTCCACCTGTGCCTCTCCCCCCGTGCAGCTGCGGGCGTTCGTCAGCACCACCCCCCGCCCCAGCCCCTCCGCAGCAGAAAGGTCTTCGCCTCCAGGGCGGCCACGGCCAGCAGTGGGTCCCCGTGCAGGGGGCACTGCCAGCTCTTCTCCCCCCTGCTCCTGCTGGCCCTGCTGGGCCCCTTCTCACCAACCCCCTAGGGTTCACCAATCTCCGCACGAGCATCACTCCGCTACGGTGACGGGGCTGCAACACCTCTGGCTCATGGGGAAAAGGGGGAAAAAATGGCAAAAAAAAAGCACGTTGAGACCTCGGCTGGGCAAAGATTTTGCAAACCTGGATCTCTGCAAGCCTGGAAGCTCCCTGCTGGTAGGCAGGTGGGGGGAGCTGGCGGGAGGGGATGGTGGAGGGGCTGGAATAAAGCCGAGGTGCTGGCTGCAGGTCACTGCCTCTTTGGCTCTGTGTCCCTTTGGTGTTGTTGGGCAGGGGAGCAGGGTTAGTGGGGAGGGAGCTGGGGGACAGTGTCTGGGTGTGCACAGCTGCTCAGGTGGGTAATGAGACTCCCCCTCACCCCTCTGTGCAGTCCATCCCCAGGGCCAAATTCTGGCCCTGCATGTGGCTCGGGGTCCTTGCAGTCCCTATGTTTGCAGCTGCTGCCCTGTTTCTTTCCCCAGGATTGGGGCTGGTTTACCAGAGACATGGGGGTGACCCTGGGGACACAGCACCACCTTAGTGCCCTGAGGTGGGAGAGAGGGAGCCAATGGCTCTTTCCACAGAGCTAATTTTACCCTGGCAGAGCTAGCTGCAGCTGCTGGTGCTGCTCCTGTGCTGCCCAGCAAGGCAGGGGCACAGCCTTCAGCAAAGGAGGTGGTTCATAATTAATGTGCTGAGGCTCCAGGCATGTTCCCTTTCTCCTCCTGAGCTACGGGTGTCAGAGCACAGGTTGTTACTTGGGAGCAGAGCGGGGCAGGTTGAGGTTTTAATGATTTTGGGGGAAACCACTGCCAGCACAGGGCTCCAGCATCCCCCCAGCCCAAGGGGTGGCTGTGGCACTCATGGGTGCAGGCATCTGAGCATCCTCCTGGCCTGAGGCTTGGGCTCCCTTGGAAGCCTGCAGTGGGGAACAGGAACCTCCTGGGGGTGAAGGGGCCCATCTGAAGCCCCTACAAAAGGGGGCTCACAGGCCCCTGTGGGTGCTGGGGCTCTATGAACCGCCCCCCCC